TCTCTCTCTCTCTCTCTCTCTCTCTCTCTCTCTCTCTCTCTCTCTCTCTCTGCCTCTCTTCTACATGAACAACTTCCAGGCAGGTCAGCTGTTCTGTCTTAAACTAGACCCCCAGAGAATCACCAAACAATGAAGATTGCTATAAACATCAAACCCAAAATGCAAACATAAAATAAAAATTGCAATTGATTGAAATAGATTTATGAAATTAGAACCAGCCAACTGAAAAATAACATACATAAAACCTTGAATGACCCACCCTCATAATAAGTCTCACAGAAGCATGCTAAGAGAACACATTTCACCTACAACCAAAGATGGAAATTGGCTTTCATTCCCTGACAGGTGTATTAAGGTGTCGCATGCACAAGTCCATTTTATTTTCTGACATTTGGTCTGTCTACTTTCGTCAACAGGAATAGTACTGCTATAAACTGTTTTCATCTGCTGGTTATAGTGTTCCCACAGAGTATTGCCCTATAACTCAGGCTGGACTGAATTCAGTAGAGAGTCCAGACTGGCTTTAAATTCCTGAGAGTCCTGCTGCCTCAGTGTCTCTTAGGTGCACTGGAACACTGTTAGCATTTGTGGTTTAATCAAAGTCTCATATATTCCAGGCAGGCCACTCTGTAGCCAAAGATGACCTTGAGCAGGATCCTCATCTTCTTGTCTCTAACTTCCCAAGGCAGAAATTCCAGTTTTAGCCACTCTGCCCTGTTAAGTATGAAAATCTCAAGGCCAGTATAGGCAGGAGTGAGTTGCAGGCTGAGTGGAATCCCATCTCAAGGAGAATATGAAAGTTCTGAACATTTTGAACTATCAGATCTGGACACGGTCTGGGGAGATGGGGGAATGGCTAAAACCCCACAGAGAAAGGAAGGACTGTGTGAAAACTGGATGTGGCCTTGTCCTTATGTCATCTGAGGCCTGGAGCTGAAGAGAGGCAAGTGTGGGAGCTTGCTGGCCTGAGGTCACTGAGACACCCTGTCTCAAAAATGAAGGTGAAAGCCCAGTGGTGGTAGAACACCCTTTAATCCCAGGACTGGGAGGCAGAGGCAGGCGGATCTCTGTGAGTTCAGGACAGCTGGTCTAGAGAGCGAGATCCAGGACAGCCAGGTAAACTCAGAGAAACCCTGTCTCAAAAAACAAACAAAAAGAACTAAGGTGTGCCAGGTGGTGGTTGCACACGCCTTTGATCCCAGCACTTGGGAAGCAGAGCCAGGTGGATCTCTGTGAGTTCGAGGCC